CGGATTGACCAGCTAGAAACTCACACAGTGATGACATGTTCCGACGCAAGGGTCCTGCTTAGAAAAGTGGAATGTGAACCTCAGTGATGGCAGTAAGCATCAGTCGCGATACTCGTAAAACAAAATTGCGAAGAGCCCACGGTCAACCACTTGCTTTATTTCCCCAAGGACTGATAAGAACAAGTAAGATTTCAAGTGTAGGTCGGGACCAGAGCAAATGGCCTGGACGCGGGAAGAACGCTGCTCTATCCAGGACCAGCAGCGCTGGTTCGAACTAGATTGCCGTTTTTAGTTAGAAAAGCGAGTTTCTTTGCACTTCTTTTTGTAGTATTTTAATAATGCGGGAGGGTGTTTCGCTGTCCTCTACACCTTCATTTTACGTGCCCTCTTCACTACATACCATCAAAAACGACAGTATTCGTTAGGCCAAAGGGGTATAGGTTGACTGACTGAGATATACGGGTCGACAAGAACCGCGGAATAACCTGGAATATATGTTAGCCTGGCTGCAAACGACCTCGTGAATTGACGGTTTACAGATAATGGTGGCTATGTGCAAAGAGAGCCGACTTACGTCTGAAGAATGCGCAACCAAGAACCAGCAGCAAAAGAGATGGCAGAATGAGACGGGTTGAGGTCTGGTGAACCGACCATCTTATGAACCTCCCTAGATTACAATGACGAAGGAATGGAAGGCGGGGTATGAGGTGCCATTAACTATGTTTTCTCTGTTACTGCTGACTTGCGAGCTGAAGTTCCATCCAAAGGATTGGCCGAGGACTGCAGAGACCGCCTTTAACCAAACCACTAAGCCTCCACGAGGACGCAGGATGCCTTGTCTACACTCTTCAGTTATGCCACAGCATTCTCAACATTGGACGTGTCCATATCCCTGCACACCGTGCAAGGGACAAACGCCAGTTGACCTCCCAGGAAGCAATGACGTAGCTGAGACTGAAATGTGAGGACATTTATTGCATTCATACCGCAGAATATTGGTGCAGTAAAATGTGACCGTTTTCTGCCTCGCTGAGATGCGCAGCTCTCAGTACCAGGCAGTTGGCAATATTTCCACCACTAGCGCGATGGCGCCCCTAGTTACACTGATCGAACTGGTGCTTAAATCTCTTTCTCTCTGCCTCTCTTAGTAGTCACTTTAAAATTCTACCTACCTGACAGGAGTCGGTGTTATCGGAAAGCTTGCTTCTGCGTCTTTGCTATGCTGTTGGCTTGTTTTACAGTTGCTGTGATGTACATCGTAAAACCAAATGCTGTTTACATGCAGAAAGAGGCTCTAGATGGCGCGGCGTGAGCCTATGCCTTGGAGTGTCACCTTATCCAAATGTAGGGTATTTGTTATGGGCGTGCAGCCCAGTAGCGCGTGCCGTACCCTGATCTGGTCCCCGTGCTAATTCAGCGCAAATTCCGCGTAGCCGTCGTACGGGACAAGAATAAGTGAGATGGCGGCACAAGGACGTAGTTACCATGCAACCACATGCGTATTGTAACGTGGAGTTTTTGCGTTCATCGCTGGGGGCCATACTTGATTCGATGATTGCTTGTCAGCCTAAATCAGTCGTTATTTGCCGTGATTTAATCGGCGTTGCTGATTTTTGTCGTGATGCCGACTCGGCAATTCGACTCGCTGTCATTCGAACTGTTGGTCGCTTACACATCCTCCACAGTCGATAAATAAGCGCAATGACTTCCCTTCTCCATATTCTGCGCTGAGACCCTTCCTAGGCAAAGCCAATGTTTGGGAGGTCGCCAACTGGCGGAGTAAATTTGTCTTACCCAGGACCGAGAACCAGATGGCAATGATTCCTCCACAATGCTGCCTTCGTAGCATTCTCACTTATGTTAGATCCGTGCCGTGCTCTGGCACTCGGAGACAGACTATTCAGCCTTGTCATATACTGGGTCAACGCCCATTTCCTAGCCACCTTGACTTTGTTTTGCCATTGGAACACGAGGAGCGCGTACCCAGAATGTGAGGCAGATGCTGCGCAAGTCATTTAAACTATAAACAAATTTATGCAATAGGCATCATTGTGTCCCCTCGGGACAGCGGTTGTTATCATCGGCTGTGACGAATGAACTACTATCTTCTTCTTTTTCATGATGCAAATTGCGCTTCTAGTGTATAAAGGGTGTTCGAAGTTCTTGCGTAGAAGTAAGCTTATCACACGAGTGTCCGAATCAAGAATATCAGACCCGGTAGGTAGCTAGGACTTCCCTGCTGCGTCCACTCTTAAACGGCTGTGCAATTTCACAGCGGAGCCCGCCCTTTCAGTTTTGTCTCTTCAGACCTATGGTGCTGGAAGTTTCTTTCTCGCTCTCTCTGTATGCAGTGTGTCAAGCTTTCTGTGTCCACTCTCAACGCCAACCTGGTCTAAGAAAAAACAGAAAAAGCGAAGAATACAGACCCTTGCTATTCAAAACGACCGTTTCAATCTTGCATTTGTGAGGAAAGCTTCGTGTGTTTGGTGCCGTCGAGTGCAAATGAACTGGTGTTCTCATCTACTGACTTGACCATAAACATCCTGCTCAGGAACAGACGACGTACGCAAATCTGCAGCCGAGCTCCATTCAAGACGCAATGCACACGTGAGAGTTCTACCGCCGATTTCGACTATGTCCACCGTGTGCTCCACAGCAGGGTGAGATCAGGGGTGGCGACATACATGTGAATTCGTGTACAATGATACAAGACTTGCGCACCATCTTCCGCACGCTCTCCTCATCTCATCTGGGCCCGGTGTCAAGAGGACCGAAAGCTGGAGAGGACGCAGGCGGCTAGCATTGCAAGAATCCGCTCCTAAGCGCGTGCTACTGACCAGGATTTTGCACCAAGAAAAAAGGGCGGCTCGGATTCCATCCGAGTGGGAGTGCCACTAAGGTCATATTAAGCGAGAACCATTTCAATCTGACTCTCAGTCCACCAGTCGGCCACTCAACGCATAAACACGCTGGGCTGACTGCGAGGTCTGAGTTGAATCACCAGTTAGTAACCTTCCAAACCGCGGCTTTTAGCACACCTTGATAATTCCAAGCGCGTCAGACTTTTTATAGTGAGGAAAATGCGCTGAGAGTCGACCTCAGTCTCCACTCCGTTTCCGGTGTGGCGCTCGATTGTCCGATTCTGAGAGTAGGAGAGATGACTGGCAGAGCTAAAAACGATCCGTCTGCAGGTGCCACAGATGACCTGGACCTCATACGCACCAACCAGGATTTGGAACGTGTAGTAGATAGCTCGGATCTCACATGCGGCAGAGGAGGCGCATGGAGAAAGGAACCGAAGAGCACAATTCCCACCTAAGTGAGGGGTGCTGCTGGTGTGGGCTGTCGGAAGTGTTCATGTGTAATGCACGAGTTGATGAGGATTGTGTACAAATGTGGTCATGTGCGCATGGACTTACCGCAGGTTTTCGTGGAGGCGTGTATGCCCAAGTAGGTCCATGCGGTAGCTGAATGTGCGAGAGCAATGCGGACAGCTGGGCGATGGCGGTGTGTACATGTTTGTGGTCCAGGCACTGATTCTTCAGTCTCCGTACAATGGATTCACAACAAAGCCAGCAGGCCGATGTGTGGGGCGAATGCACTGTGGCAATGTGGACGGGATAGGTTGGGGGAGGGTAGGTTGTTGCTAGCGTTAGTCGTGCAACTGGGTGGGAATTGATTGGGCTGGGAATGAGAGAGTTGGCAGATTTTCACAGGGTGCTAAGTGTGTCGATACTGATGTGAATCGGTCGTTGTGAATACGCATGTCCACGCACATTCACGCGTCCCCTCGTCCCCCTCCGTCCCTCTCCACACCTCCGAAGACATACGGAGAAGGGGAGGACCACCGCTGGCTGGACGGATCACCGTCTCGTCATCTCCAAGAAGGGGCTTCGGCTGCAACAAACAGGAAGCCACAAGCTAAGCGACCACCAGGTAATATGAATACTGTCCTGCTGAATTTGCCTGCTTACCGTTTACATTTCAGTAATCATAATAGCATTACCGGCAAAGACAAGAGAAACTGGAACGGCCACTCCTGGTTTACTAACCGTCGTCAGCCAGCCATACTCAATCCCGAGACGTGGAACACCTGGGACTCGATCCCGCGACCTGTTGGTTAGAAGTCAAAAGCCTCCCAACATTGGGCCACGGCTTCTTTGTCCTGTTGGTTGCGATTGGGTATATGCAGTGGTAGAGATACCGTCCTCGATCGTGCTACGGAACTCAGTTATCCTGTTGTGCCCTGGGGCTCTCTATGGAGCCCGCCAGCAGACGCATAGCTGCGCGTAATATAGGCGGGTTAGCATTACCGACAAAGGCAAGGAGGGCTGGAATGGCCGTTTTCGGTTTATTGGTCATCGTTAGACAGACACACCCTTTGATATTTCAGCAACCGGTTAGTTCAGCACCTGGACGACCAGCTATCTTCGACATGGATCTCCGGCCCGTCATCCAAGAAACCGTTCGCGCCATGTAACACCTCTCCAAGGGAACGCATCGGGCTCCGATGTGATCCTGGCTGAAATTTATAAGCAATGGCGTCCACCACCTGATGGACCAAGTGACGCCTCTATTCGGGCAGATGAGGTGACAGGGGCGGGTCTTTCGGGACTTCGAAGACGCGAATATAGCCCATATCTACAAGCGCAAAGGGAACTGACGACTCTGTGATAACCACAGAGGCACCTTGTGGCCTAACATCGTTGGGAAGATATTTGTTCGCCTTCTTCTCACTCGTCTGAATGGCCACCTCAAGCAAGGATTTGTCGGAAAGCCGATGTGGCTTCTGACGACACCTCGAAACCATCAGTATAAGCATTACCGCTCGCCAGCCGAAGTAGAAGTGGCAGGAGATGGGAACCCACCTCTACACTACCTCCGTGGACATGACGAAAGCCTTTGACACGGTGAATCGCAAGAGATTGTAGAAAATCGTGAAGAAATTTGGCTGTCCTGAACGACTCACGCTCGTGGTACGCCAGTTCCAAGGCGGTAGAATGGCACGCATCACGGCGAACGGCGTAATCTCCGAGGCATTTGCAGTGACAAATGCAGTGGAGCAGGGCTGTGTACCCGCTCCTCCCCTTTTCGGCCTCATATTCACTTCCACGCTGATAGACGCCTATCGTGATGAGCGTCCTGGGATAGGCATCGCCTTCAGAACCAACGGGCATATTCTCAACAGTAGGTGCATGCAGGCCATAATGCAACTGACTACGACTACAGTCTGCGATCTGCTCTTCTCCGACGATTGCGCGCTCAACACCACGACTGAAGTGGACATGCAATGGAGCTTGGACCCCTTCACTGGCGAGTCTGTCAATTTCAACCTGAAAATCAACACGAACGAAACGGTGATCATGCACCAACCGTCACCGAACGCTGAATGCAACTCCCCTCAGATCACTGTCAACGGCAACCAACTCCAAACCGTGGACAAGTCCGCCCATCTAGGAAGCAAACTCTCGCGCAACACAAACATCGACGATGAAGTTGCACGTCGGCTCTCCAAAGCCAGGCCTTTGGTCGGCCTCAAGTTTCCGTGTGGAATAGTCACGGCCTTTAATTGAACACAAAACTGAAGATGCACAAGGACGTCGTCCTGACGACACTCCTGTTCGGAACGATGACTTGGACGGTATACGCCAGCCATGACAGGAAGCTCAAACACTTCCATCTCAACTGCCCGCGCAGAGTACTGAACCTGAAACGGCAAGGTAGGATCCTCGATGCGAAAGTCCTAGAACGGACCGGCAACCTTAGCATCCACGCCAAGTTGAGGCTACTGTAGCTACGTTGGAGTGGCCATCTCGTGAGGATAAAAGACATACGACTACCGAAACAGCCACAGGTGCTCGCCGACCGGAAGGACCAAAACGACGCTACAAGGACACATTGAAGCGATTAGATATCAATCCAGAGACCTGGGAGGACCTAGCCCAGAACAGACCGGTCTGGAGAAGAGAAGTGAAGACTAGCGCAGCCATCTACGAAGCAGACCCTACACCTCCTAGCTATAACCACAACCTTAATCATGGCAGCAGCCCAACCCTAACCACGACGCCCTCCCCCAAAATGTGTGGTAAGGCCACCTGTAATAGTGGGTCTGTATTCTCGTGCCCGAACAAGTTCGTAATTTTCTTGTCTACCTTCGTAAAAGGTTATTGGCTGACAAATGGTGAAATCGTCTGTTACAATCTGACAATCAGGAAGCAGGTTAATCACATCCCACTCTATGTCTTTCCGTTTTAAACCAGTTGGCACCGAGAACGTGAAAGCCAGTCTTTCGGAGTCTGCGAATTGAACATTCAAGTCGATATGACATAGGACAAAAGTGTTACAGGCAGTCAACCCATTAGGCTGTCGAATTCCGCGTCAGACTCCGACCCCCCCCGTAACAACCATGACACTCCACCACTGTCACTATAAAATGGGCTTTCCCGGTCGTTTCTGTTTTTTTTTCGCGCGTTACTAAATCCTTCACTTTGGGGGCAGACAAAAGCCAATGACAAGATTATAGCCGCTGACATCACGAGAGAAGACAGGTAGACTGGAGGGAAGGAGGGAGAGAAGGCTAGGAGGAGGAGGAGGAGGAGGAGGAGGAGGAGGAGGAGGAGGAGTAGGACTGGTCCCGGTGTTTTTGTACTGGTCGTCGCTCAGCCAGCGCCATTTCACTTTCTTGTTTTCCCGCCTCTCTTTGATCTGAAAATTCGCCGACACAGGGTAAACCCACGCACATTTGAGGGCCGCGAGTCCTCTTTGATCGGTCCAAGGCAAGAGTTTGCCTGTGAAGGTTAAACCCCCCTCTCCGTACAGTGGAGACATTGCCGAAGGGTGTCCTTCACTTGAACGCCGTCGTAAACTGATGCACCGGCGTTGCCCTTTACCTAGTCTAGACTATTTTATTGCTCTTCTGCCTGGACCTGCGCTCCACCTCTGACCTCCCTCCCCTTTCCTCTCTCACCTACCCGAGCATTAAAACATCAGGCGGGCTTGGAGATTAGGAAAAGAAAGTGTCGTTGGGATGTTATTACGGATAGAGGGTAATTCTGCAGCTCGCTTTTGGATAAGTGCGAGATCATGCGATGGCACGGTTTCTGGATATCCAGCGCACTCGTTCCGCCAAAATGGGTTCACATCTCTGCACCTGTCAATGGGAACGTGGAAACGGGGATGCTTTTGGGGGACACGAATGCGAAGGATGCGAAGGATGCGCAGTTGCTTGACCAGAAAAGCAGATTGGTCCATTCAAAGTGGTGAAAAGTGTCAATGTAAATGGGGGCACTACGGCATTCTGTGAACATGACGAGGTTATGTTGAGTCTCAAGGTGAACGTCGTGCTTGATTTTTTTCGATAACAGCCTATTAAGTTTAGGTAGAAGTTAGGAGATATATTTATATATCCCTGTTAAGAGAAAGAAGACGCGATTGCTGGAACAAGAAGTCTACTGGTCTGATTTTCAAGTAAGAATTTGAAACGGCTGGTCAATAAAATTTTGTTTCAGAGATCGCATCTTTTTCCTCTGAACCATTACCAAAAATAACCTTATTCGCTTCCATCGGTAATCCTGTTCATTATAGTGCCAACTAATATAAAGTTTCAAATGCACTTGATACAAATTGCACCGATCGTTTTTACGCAACTCACTCGTTCCGTTGTGCCTTAGGGCCTCTCTCTCGAGCCCAACCAGCAGCCGCACAGTGACGCAGGGTATATGCAGCGCATGATGTAGGAAGAATGGTATTACCTAAAAAGACAAGGGAGACTGGAATGGCCATTTCTGGCTTTTTGGCCGTTGTCAGCCAGTCATAACCCAACCTCGAAGTGTGGAACACCTGGGGCTCCATCCCGCGACTTGTTATTTAGAAGTCCAAAACCCCTCTAACATTGTACCTATCTGATCGCAACCGACAGGACGAAGAGCCCGTAGTTCAGTGGTTAGAGGCGTTGGACTTCTAACCGACAGGTCGCGGGATCGAGTCCTAGGTGTTCCACACTTCAGGATTGTGTATGACTGGCGGAAGACAGCTAACAAGCCAGAAATGACCATTTCAGTCTCCCGTGTCTTTGTCGGTAATAACATTCTGCCTACATCTATGTACGGACGGAGTACGGTATAGCACCTTTGCCATATAAAATGCCTACTACTTGTAGTACCGATCGTTTGTAGAATGAGTATTACATGGCTGTTCAATAGCAGTTGACTGTTTTCGACCCAAATGTTCATCGAAATTTCGGCTATGACCTCAAAAGGTTATGTCCCTGAAACGTAACTCTATGTCTTGAACTTAATAGTTTCTGAAGTTATTAGGTTGATGTGTGGACGCGTATGTTATCATGATTATGGCTGGAACGTTCATCTCTGGCTTGATTGCTGTCATCAGGCTGCCATCACTGAACTTCGGACCAAACGAGGCTGAGATTTAAACCAGGATCCAGTTGACAATCACACATGTTGGTGAGGCGTTTTAGCCTTTCAGTTGCTGGCCAACGCCCTAACAACTGAGATCCAAAATATCAAAGTATTTGACTTACTGAATGTAACGTACTTATTCGTTGCTCCCTGGAAAATATCCGTTGCTTATGTGCCGACTAGCATCCTTCCAGCTGCCCGCTATCATCCTGGGAGAAAATGCGAAATTTTGCACGACTGTATTTTTATTAAAACGGTTATTTTTGCAAAATGTGTTTGAGTAGTCTTATTCTTAATAGGTTGCTATACGTTAAATTCAAAAGAGATAAGAGCTCAGGTCAAGGTTGCGGATCTGTGCAAGATAATCTAGAGGCAAATGTCTAACAAAGAATATGAGTGACTAAGACCAGTGGACACGATCCTACCAGGAAAGTACGGCCTCCCAAAAATTCACAAAAACGGGCTACCCCTACGTCCAATCCTGAATATGGGGAATTCGCCGCATCACACCACGACAAAATGGCATGTCGAAAAGCTTAAGCCGCTACAAAGTCATTTGTACCCTCTAAGGTTGAAGGACTTCTTGGAGTTTGTCCAGATTATCATGGATATTAACGTTGACGGAGAGAGGATGCTATCATTAGACGTAGCATCATTGTTTACTAATGCATCTGTAGCCGAAACGATAAACTACCTTTGTGACGTTATCCGCGACACGAACTACCCGTTTGGCATGCCAGTGGAAAAGTTAAAGGAACTACTGACACGTTGCACGCAAAACGTCCAGTTTCTCTGCAATGGTCAACTGTGCAGAAAAATAGACGGTGTGGCGATGGGCTCACCGCTCAGTACGTCCATCGCAAATGCCTTCATGGGCAAAGTCGAGATGACAAGGTTACATGATACTATTAATGACCTTGACTTCTACGGTCGGTACGTGGACGATATTTTCTGCCTGACGGATGTTACCACCGACACAGACGCCCTGGTTCAAAAGTTAAACTGTGCACACCTCTCGCTAAAGTCCTCTGCAGCGTCTAAGGCAGACAACGAAATCGCGTTCCTCGATGTTCTTCTGCACAGACAAGAGGATGGATCTATCCAGCGTAGGGTATTCCGAAAGAAAACTTGCATGGGATAATACATTAATTTGCACAGTTTTGTTCCTCTAAATATTAAACGCAGTTCGGTCCAGGGAGTGGCAGCTAGAATGCGACGTATCTGCTCTCCTGAGACTGTTGAGACAGAAATCCAGCAGCTGCAAGATATACTCCACGAAAACGGATACTTAGGAAGATTTATTCCCCGAAATATTGGGGAACGAACTGCAAAGTCCACCTGGCAAAATGCAGAAAAGAAAGACTTATTTATAAGACTACCTATTCAAGGGGACGTTAGTGACCTTGTAAGAAGTCGTCTGAAGATAGCGATCACTAGCGCTTTCCCTGCGGCGAATTTACGTGTGTTTCACGAACTCTCCCTTCCTACGTATAGGAAGAATGAACCGACTACCGTTGCAGGCCATATCGATGTGTATTTACTCATTCACTTGCACCTGTGGAGTGGGATACATTGGCCGTACAACGAGGCGCCTGGAAAAGAGAGTACGCGAACGCATACCGGCCTGACTAGACAGAGCTGAAAAGAAATCGATCTCGGGTTCTACTTTCGCGCATTTTGTCGACACGAATCACCGAGTCGATGCCAAAGAAGCCTTTCAGGTTGTCTACCGGACACCAGTAAGCTTCTCCAGAGGCTTACGTCAACGGGTGCTAGCTGCAGTCAAGTCAGTGGCTATACGGCTAGCCAGTACAGGGCTATGTTGTCAGAAGACGTTGACATAGGCCCTCAGTCTTCCGCGGCCAACGCCGACCCCGGATGCTGATTGCACGCCGCCCCAACCTCCTGATTGCAGTGATGTAGCTCAACGTACGCGACGTGAAAACATCACTCACAGCCTATGTCACCCCTCCTCCTCGACCCACTGACCATAACACGTCGACCGCCCCATGCGGATGGCATGGAAACGATGAGTGTTAATAGCCCCTGAGTCTCTTATAAACCCTGTGAACTTCACATATTCTCAACTTCTATGTAACTGCTTTCGCCTGATGACGAGTTACCGAAAACACGTGTTTGCCAAATTGACTTTTCAA